CTTTAACATGAGGTACAGGGCACACAAAAACTGTTTAAAAATGGCATAGGTAGAATGAGTTATATTTTAAAATAGATTTTTCATTCATGCTATGAATACATGTTAATACAAAGCATACTAATAAGAAAGCATGTGTAAATTATATAGTTATTGTTCATACATCGGAACTAAGCTAATAATTTGTTCTTCGTTTCGCAACAATTCATCAACATTGATGATATTGTCGTATTTTGCAATAAATATTGCTAATGCATAAGAAAATGGTGTTTTTATATTTATATAATCATATTCTGTATTACGGAAAAGAGGTAACTAAAGGTATTAGCATTATTTTCTAAAGAAGCGTAACAAAAAATAATTATGCGGGCTGAACATTTCAGATTACAGCAGCGTAATAAATTTCTATCTAAGCTAGATGAAAAAGTAGAACAGTATAAATTGAATGACAACTTCAATATATTAGTAAACATGATATTTTCAAATGTTATTGTTTATCCATCACCATAGTATAACCCAAACGATCGTGTTTTATGTCCACTGAAGGTTCACGTTGTGGTGTGAAGACATCTTGAAGGGTGTTGTTATAGGGTTGGTCTTCTGTAGTCCTCGCTGTATCACATGAGTTATCTACCCATGCGCCTACATCAATAACTTGTAGAGTTGCCTCCCCTAAAACAGGTTTAGCGAGAGTATAGGGAGATAACTCTTGATCTGACTGCACGAGTTGTTGTTCTTGTTCTACTTGAAGTAACTGTTGGTAAGGGTTTTTTATATCCCGTCGTTCTTGTCCTAGTCTTTGGTACTCACTGTTGGCTTTCTCATTCGTGTTAATGTAGAGGGCGTTATTTGTTTGGTTGTTTTCTACAGATGTATCCTGTATGGTGCTTACATTGAACTCATCCGTTTTACAATCACGTTTTGTATTGCTTAAAATGTCAATGTCTGTTTCTACAGCGTTTTGAGTTCCAATGTTTGTTTTATAATAGAGAGACATTGAAATAGCAGAATTGTTTTCCTCTTCCCCAATAGATGTGTACTCCCCTTCTACAACACAATTTGAATAAATTTTGACTGTATGTTTATGTCCTGTTTTTAGTAAATCTGGCGGTTCAACAGAAGTTTTGTTTCTATACGGCATATGATCGTTACCTAAGTCACAAGGTGAGTTGAGGGCGTTTTTCGAATTAACATCACGGTTTTCTAATTTCGTATCATTACAATTATTGGTTAAATTTGTTCTATGTCTTCGCCAGAAAAATATACCAAGACTAGAAACTATAAATAAACATACAGCACTAACTACACAAGCACTGATAGTAATTGTTGAGCTTGTGTTTTCGTCAGTTTTATCATTGTTCAAAATCAACCCCGAAAGATTTACTGAACTGTTTTCATGTAATGCTTTGGTTGTTGAAAATTTCTGGAAATCTGTTGTATGTTTCGATGTTTTTGTTGTCAGTTTTGTTGTCGGAAATGTTGTTCTAAATACAGATTTTGTAGTTCTCGTGGTTGTTGAAGGTTGAGTTGTTGACGTGGTCGTTGTTTCGACTATGTAGTAAAACATCTGATACAAGCAACCATTATAAAAATACTTGATATTATCACCAGATAAGTTAATGTTAACAGTTTCCAAACCAAAACAGCGGTAGTTGGATCTACAGTAAGTAAATTCATTCTTACATCCTGTTTGTTTTCGTAAACTACAATACAAGTTGTAGCTGTCATAATTGCAATGATATATGTATAGTTCTGGTTCTGGTTCTTTGTCCATTGACTCCTGAATGTCGAATACTGTATAGAAATTTTGATTTTCTGCAAAACTCATACCCGTACATACTTTGTATTGATTTAACATACACATAGCAAATCTGAAAAATAAAAATCAATTCTTGTTATGCAAATGTAAAACTCATTTTCATTTTCTTTAATGACATTAAATTGATTTAGTAAATTAGTTAACATTTTTTAAAACTCATACTATGATAATCACGTTAAACACAAGCTCTAAAATATGTATGTATACATTTTGCACTAGTTATCTTTTATTAAATTGGAAAAAAAACTAAACACAAGTCTATGTTTTAATTGTAACTATCAATCAGTATGTTTAAAGAGAATGTGCAGGTTTTCACTTTTTTTTTACCTATGAAAGAGAGCATCATTAAACCAAAACGACGCGTATGGTGAGAAAAACTGAATTTCCCCAGAAAGTTCAGCTTTCTTGATGATTACCATAATCAAACACAAATGTAACACCACGCAGACGATTGTAAACTGTGACATCGTTCTTTTTTAAATTATTTTCACTTTAGTTAAATGTAAATCGAAAATCTTGAATATGGAGTGTTTCTTTTAAAGTTAATATCCAATCGAATAACACCACTGCTAACTACTTAAACACGCATGTAAAATACTACAGAAAGATTTCACCGTTTTCATTTTAATAATTTTTAATTTTCGGTAACTGAGCCTTGCATAGCCAGCCCTTTAGGTAACTAATCAAGCGGATCAAAACAGTGGCTGGTAACACATAACATATCCGGCTGTTTCTATTGGTTCAAATTCTAGACTAGGCGTCGTTATCTGTGAAGCAATGTGCATTGACAGTGTTTGTCTGAACTTTGGGATATTTTAAGACGCCGGCGCAGCGACAGCGTGACAAAACATAGCGTAGGGAGTGTGAGGGTGGGGGTTTGAATAAATTGATGTCACTTGGACTTGGTCAACATAACGTGATGTGGCATCATTCTGTTTTTAAATAAACTTTACATTCTGAGACATATTTTAAATATAATAGGATCTAAAGTAGATTTTACAAGTGTATATCGATTTTAAATCCTTTGACTGCTACATGTAAAGTCACAATAATTTAGCAAGAAAACATGTAATTTGTCACGTAGCTATTCCCCATTTTTCACACGTTACTTCTAAATAAATTAATTAATGTCCGTGATAAGATCATTGTAATATATATAGCCTATATATATATATATATATATATATATATATATATATATATATATATATAGGCGTATACTATTGAAAAGAAAAATAGTTTGTCATTAAAATATACCTTTCAATACTTGACTTTTTATCGCTAACGAAAAATCTTTGACTTTACTGTTTGGACAATAGACAATATAATATTGTTACTCTCAATAGTAATTCTTCATGCTAAACCATAATGGTCATAAATTACATATCATACCATCTCTGCTGGGCTAGGTTCTAAGAACAGTAATCCATGTTACCTACAAAGAGATGAAATTTATGGTGGGCAAGGATCGTCTACTTAAACTTAAAACGCAAACAGTAATACTAACTGTGTATTTTTATTTTGTATTTTCGGCCACATATTTATGTCATCCACGAAACTGTCAACAACAATATAAGGATCTTCAATTCCTAAGAGTTCAAGTTTTTTAACGTATTGTTCCTTTTCCGCGGGTGCACTGTGAACGCGTCCAGCGCTGGTGAACAGCTGATTGTGTTTACGTCCGGTGTACACCACCGTGGCGGCGGACGTAGGTATCACGTGATTTAGGTCACGTGTTTGTAAGGACTCTATTGTCTGCGTTTTTATTTGTAATGTGATTGCATTTTTGGGGCTATCCTTCTGTTTCCTTTTAGTTCATATTGGCTCAGTATCCATTACTATGTCTGATTGTGTTGGTTAAGGAAGCCTCTTCATCTGGGATTCGGTGTTCGCTATGGTTATTCGAGCCGTTGTGGCTAAGCCCTATTTGAGATTTGGCTTCAGAGAATTTCCGGTTCCTGTCGTAGTTTTTTTTTTCTGAGAGTGATTTTTTCTTGAGTGGGTGGTGTATCCACATTTGTTAATGTTGTCGATAACTCATTGCAAGGTGTATTTCGGTGTGTTAGATGACAGTTGTTTGTCAAGTAGTGAATGTAATAGTCTTCTCCCCGGAATTAGGATTAGAATATTTTTGCTGAGTTTTCGTAGTTTAGTTTAATGTAATGTTGGGTGTTTGCTTCTATTGTTGGTGATCAATCGTGCTTATTGATAGTTACCTTATGCTGAAGAGTCGTAGTGCTTGCTGGAGTATTGTGTAATTGAATGCTGTCTTTTTCGTAAACTGAGAAGTGCAGTGTGTATGGACCGTGTGTTGTAGTTGTTTTGTATACTGTGGTAATGTCGAAGCTGTCGGATGAGAAGTACCAGGTTACAGTTCTACTATAGTATAGAACAATTAAGTGTGTGCTGTTATTGAGCTACATTATTATAGAGTCAACTCCGATATATAAAAAAAAACTTTCATCTTTATTGTATAAATCGAAAAATTAAATTTTACCAACATCAGCAGTGATGTTGTTCCCACTTGAATAAGTTCTAATGCTAGAAACGTTGAGAAGAACTACTTGAGCCACAGATCTAGCAGTATAATTAAACAATAGGGCTGGTAAGTAGGTCACCAACCAGTTCTATGGCTCATGCAGGTTTTATTGAGCCGAAGAACTGGATGGTGACCTACTTACCAGCCCTATTGGCCCAAATTTTTTCAGGTTAAACGTTTTTACCAGTAACACAAAGTAAATTTACTTTAAAAATAGTATTGCATATTTTTTATCGTCATCGTCACAATTTTCACTCTTGAAAGTTAATAACGATGAGTATTTGACATCTACTGTGTAAAGATGTTTTGATCAATTTTTACCAATTTATTGCAACATTTTTATAGGATAGGCTAATTCTTTTATCACAAAGATGATTTATGAATTCATTAGTAAAAAGTATAGGTAAAGTTATAATCAATATTTACAAAATAATAAATAGTGCTGATAACTGATAAAAACAAAACATTACAGATTACAGATACATTATATATATATATATATATATATATATATATATATATATATATATGTGTGTGTGTGTGTGTGTGTGTGTGTGTGTGTGTGTATGTGCACGCGAGATACAGATAACAAATTACAAGCAAAAAAGCACGTGAATAGAAAATGTTATTGAGATTTTTAAACTGTTATTTTTTATCCATAGGTAATATCATTGTATATCCCAAACAATTACGTCTGATTTTCACGGTCGGTTCATGTTGTTGCATATTGGTAACGTGTTGGATCTCATCATCATCTGGAGTGTTGTTGTATGGCTGATCCTCGCTTGTGGCCCTTTTATCACAGACTTTTACGTCAATAATCTGAAGTGTTGCCTCCCCTACAACAGGTTTAGCGAGAGTATAGGGAGATAACTCTTGATCTGAAAGCACGAGTTGTTGTTCTTGTTCTACTTGAAGTAACTGTTGGTAAGGGTTTTTTAAATCCCGCAGTTCTTGTCCTAGTCTTTGGTAATCACTACTGGTTGATTCAGCACTATTGTAGTAGTCAAGAGTAGAATCTTTATTGTTACAAGATTTACCTGGCTGGGATTCTTGATTTATTCCTTCAGATTTGTGACTTCGTTTCACTTCCCACTCAGAGTCTATTGAATTGCTACTTATGGTCATAGTATTTGCATACTGATCTAAGTTTTCATGGCCAGTTGACGCAGCTTGCATGTCCCCTACCTCTACTATTGTTGTGTAATCAGTCTCAGCCAGACAATTAAAATATTCCGTAACTTGAAGTTTATGTACAGTTTTTACCAAATCTGGTGGATCTTGAGTTGTATCTTTTGTGTTTGTTGCATGCTCGATTTCCTTAACACGTTTAGAGATTGTGGTGCTTTTCAGTTTAGGTGTATGGTTATTTAGTGTTGTATCAGTAGAAATACTCTTTAGATACTTCTGATGCCTTCTCCACACGAAAATACCAATGATAAAACATAGAACAAGAACCACAGCACCAACTACACACACGCTGATGATTAGTGTTGTTTCAGCGATGTCATCACTTGTATCGTTGTTGGAAACTATCCCAGAAACATTCGCTGAACTGTTATCACGTAATGCGTGTGTTGTAGATGGATAGAAAATATTTGTGTTAATTGATGCTGTTGTGGCTGTTGTACTTGATGCTGAACTGGGTTTTTCCGTCGTCGTCGTCGTCGTTGTTGTTGTAGGTACTGTTGTTGATGTGGTGGTGGCTATGGATCTATAATAAAATGTTAGATCTTTAAGCCAGCATAAAATTGAACAATTCATGATGTTATCACCAGAGATGTAGATGTCGTCTTTTTGCAAAACTACTCCAGCTCTATTTGAAGTGCAGGTTTCCGGTAATTTTAGACAGTCTTCTGTTAGTATGTTAGCAGTACACTTAAGGCTATACAAATTAGGGTAGACGGTGCAAACATAGTATATATTTCCTGTCAATGTATTATTATTTCCTGAAGAATGCACTATGTATTTATTATACATAAAATTGTAGGTAGCTGTGCATTCTGTTATGTTTTCACGCATGCAGTCGTGAAATCTGCAATATAAAATTGCTCTTTTTTACTTGGAAAAATATATGACTTTAATTATTGTGAGGTGAAGTGAAGTAATAAAACAATAAACACAAAGGTAAAAATTTGTATTTTCTAGAAATTATTAGTCTATTCAATTGTTTTTTTTTTGTTATACGTTACATAACTTTTGTTTACATTTAAAAAATAATTTAAAAAATCAGCTTATTATAATAAGTATGCGATCATGTTATTTCTCATTGTAATTACTGTTAAAGTTAAGTAGCCTAAACCTAATAAAAATACCTTAACATAAATTGATTATTATAGCTTAAAAATAATGATTTGTTAATGATAATTTTTTTCATAATTTAAAGTATCTTTTGTATGTTATGGTAGCATTTACCTGTTAAAGTTTGAAACACTAAAATTAATCCTCTTGCCACTGGTTGAAAACACGATTTGTCCAGCAAGTTCAGTTACCATGAAATTCAAACAAAACAAACACCATTGTAACATCATAAACTTCGACATCCTTACAGGTTCTAATTTAAATTGTATTTTTTAATATAATTAATGCAAGTATAGTCTATGTTTCCTACTTAACTCACTACCTTATGACGCTAAGAATAAACATACGAATCACACGCTTTAATGTTAAAGTGCGTTTTAATGTTTTCGTTTTTAAGAAGTTTTTTTCCTCTGTATACAGAGCGTGCATGACCAGTTATGTATGTAATTAATCAGGTGGATCAAAATACTGGCTGTCAATGTATAACATATCCTGTTGTGTCGAGGTGATTTTATATCAGGGGAAACTTAAAGCCCTGTTTTATGGCCCGAACTTTTGTGTATCTTGTGACGTCTGTGCAAAGATATCGTAAGGTGACACAGCATGGTGTAGGGAGGACGATAGTGAGGTTGAAGTGGTGGGGGGAAGAGGGTTGAAGCGATAGCCATGTGGCGGGGAGGGAAGTTAACAATAACAATTCAGTACTTTTAATCTAGAGCAACACTATATTTTAAAAAATCTCTTTACCGTTCATGTCAATGAATGTTTTCTATTTAATAGAATTATGTTTTAAATACGACATGACGATGCAGTACATCGGTATAACGCGTTAGTGTTTGTCCGAAAGTCAAGATATCAGTTTATGAAAGTGGACAGTTTAGTTGTAACACAGTTCGACCTCTGCTACACATATTATTTATAGATGAACAGTAGCTCGTGTTTAGTTTTTTAAAGTTTCACCCGAAACTAATATGCTTTTAATAATTTGCTGCTCTTATTTTTTTTTTTTTTGCAGAAATAATTTTGTTAAGAACAATTCCGATATTTTAAGAATGTTGACAATCTTAATAAACCAACATCTATCCAGTGTCGTGAAAAAAAAGTTGCATCTGCACAAAATATCTGTTAAAACAAAACGTAAATTTCCTTGATTAGTTTGTTGAGTTGAAAAGGGAAGTAAATACAAACTAATCTCTGCCTCGTGTCGTTAGTGGCTAAAATAAAAAAAATAAATAAATTAATAATGCATCCTCTGTAGACTTAGCCATCTAATGGGCAGATGAAATAGAGTTCTTATGTTTATTTACCTCGGAAGGTGTGATCAGCACTTTATCCAACCGCCATTACTTTCCCTAACATGAGTTAGGAACCCATCATAGCTGGGTGGACTCAGAGACGTTCAACCGGGCGCTCTACCGCTTAGGCCACGCCGTCCCTAGTCCTTCTATTTTAAAATTCTAATATTACCATACATTATTATTATTAGCATACAAACAATACGTTAAAGTGACACCCCATTCAATGCTCTTGAGTTAGTGGTTATTTCTGTTAATAGGATCATTAATGATTGATTGTACTAAACCTATGAGGCGTAGAGGTGACTAAAGTCACGTTTAAAAAAAAAAAGTATAACATGCAAAAGTAATTAACACTAATGCTTACTTTTTGGATCTGGGCTACAAACGAAGATTAAAGAAAAAATACAATTACATTAGTTAATTACATGCTGTTTATTCCATGACATAATCTTACAATATACAAACTATATTATAGAGTATCAAGTGAATATTAACATTATTTTGTGTCAGAATATTTCTGAATATTTTAAAAAGGTATATCTTCACTAATCTCACCCATATCGCAGTGATATAAACACATGTCTTTTCGTCAATAATCTGTAGAGTTTTCACCCAATGCATTCAAAAGGAGAATACAGTTAAATCGGTCATGTAATAATACTTGTGTGATTAAGAATTTTTTTAAAATCCCTTTTTCCGTTAAAAATTGTTTCTGTTAGTTTAGAGTTTACTTTTGTCTCATTGACAATTCTAAAAAAGGCTTCGATACTCTGATTATCTTGACATGTGTTAACTTGTCAAAATACAACAGCTAAAACAACTTCGCGGGGATAGAAAGAGGAAGTGAATTCAGCAAATCTCTGTATTTTAATGAAAGAAGTTTTTAACGATAACCTTATCGCAATCTACACCGCAATCACATTATTTTAAATCAGATCCTGAAGATATTTATCTTGTACATTTCATTGTAATTTTCAGTGCAGCAAACATAAAAGATAACTTATGAATGTGGATAATGGATTACATGTGACATCTCCAATTTACATCCGGGTGATATATAATAGTTTAAGGCAAAACAAAAATAAATGCGGCCCAGGTTATCCAATTTTTTAAAAAGATATCCTGGTTATTCTTTTAAAAACCATCACGGTTGAGTTCGCCATCTTGTAGATTGTTGGGATAAGAGCTGTCTATACTCCCCCCCCCCCGATTGCATGGCAAGAGTTATATGCCCATACTCCTACATCAATAACCTGTAGAGTTCTCTCTCCTAAAACAGGTTTAGCGAGAGTATAGGGAGATAACTCTTGATCTGACAGCACGAGTTGTTGTTCTTTAAACAAAGTAGGTAACTGATCGTAAAGGTTTTTAAATTCCCGTCGTTCTAGTCCTAGTCTTTGGTAGTCACTGCTGACTGTATCAACGCTGTTGTAGTTTTCTACATCCTCCATCTTACTTTGGTTATCAGTTTCTTGGTTCTGATGAGCACAAATACCAACGTTTTCATAATTCAAAAAATTCGGAATTGAATCATGAATACGATTTACGTTATTGTACGTTCCAAAGTTTTGTTTCAAATGTGCTGATTCTAATTTGATATGATTGTCTCTACCTTCTGCTATAGTTGTGTAATCATCAACTATGAAGCTACTGTTATTTTCATGAACCACAGCTTCATGTCCAGTCTTTTGCAAATCTCGAGGCTTATTTTCCTCTTTGGTTATTGATAGAAACTGACTTCCACTTTCGTTAATAGATTTTGAATTATTTTTCTCGTTTTTCTCGTTGTCAGATTTTTCTACGATTGAACTTCCTCTCCGCCAGAGTAAAAAACAAATAATGGAGACGATAATAATCACAACAACACCAGCAACACTCACACTGATGATTGTTGTTGAAGTTGTGCTGCTGTCTAAGTTGTTTGAGTAAAATGTTGACGAATTTGTTGTCCTGTTTAGAGTCTGCAAATCTGTATTACGGTTTATTGTAGTTAATGGAAATTCGGTCTTTGACGCATATGTTACATTTATCGTTGATTTACTCGTTGACGATAGTATAATTTGTTCTGAATGTATTGTTGTAGTAATAGTCGTTGACGGCTTAGTTGATGGCTCAATTGATTTATTGTAAAATGTCCGATAGCTACATGAGTATGTGCAATTGTTTATGTTATCTCCAAGAATATAAGCAAAATTTGTATTTAGAACGACCCCAACATTGTCTGAAAGACAGTTTTCAACAAAGTCTTGACATCCGCGCAATCGACTAGGGGTGCATTTAAAATAATTGCGATCTTCAAAATCAAATAATTCGCACTCATAGTAATAGCTTCTTTCAATGTTTTTTGTCTCGTCCAAACGCCATGTTTCATACACTACAGGTTTTAACCGAGTTTCATCAAAAGTTATATTGTAATAACCATAGCATACCTTGTATTTATTCACCATGCAGTTGAAGAAACTAATGAAGAGAAAAAAAAATAAAACCTGATCTTATTATCACAGTTACAAGTTTTAACCCAGTTCATTCATTTTAAAATCTAATTATAAAAAACCTACTGTAAAAATATACACATTTGACTTTTAAAATACAAATGATAAATCTCTTACCGGTAAAAAACTTGATCGTTAAGAAATGTAAGGCTTTTTCTCATTTCGTTTCCATTTGATGAAAATATTATTTTAAGAGAACTTTCTGAATGGTGTAACATCAACCATACCATTAAACACACTATCAAACAATGGTGAGTTTTGTATAGCAACTTCATTCTGTCTGTAATATTCACAAAAATATATAACAATTATATGCACAGTTCTTGTTTTTTCGTTTATGTGATAATAGCAAACGAACCAACAGCTTTATCTTAATCTTAGAGTGAAATCAGGAACAGAAACCTTCAGTTTGTCAACTCTAAAAATGTTACACTTCTGGGTTGTCCGTCCTCGCTTTGGTTTATGTTACGTCATCAATTACCAAAACAATAAGGGAATCCCCGACTTACTAAAAATAAAACGAAATGTGATGTCTCGTTTGGTTTAGTTTTTCATTTAACGTAGTGATGTCAACAGCTTAGGACTAATGTTTTGATATACACACACACACACACACACACACACACACACACACACACACACACATATATATATATATATATATATATATATATATATATATATATATATATATATATATATATATATATCGATGGTCTCGGTCGCAAACCGTCTAACTCCGAAAATGTAAATTTTACAGGAGAGACAAAAAACTGATTATTTCCTTCTCGATCGCTCTAATACAATTTTTTTTTAAAGATATCTCCGAAGAAACTCTCTACCGACTATACTGTAGCGTTTTAAAATGGGTTTTGTTGACATTTACAAATTTATAGCAGGTTTAAAAAGATAGACGGTTTGCTCGGTCTAAAATTCTCGGTGCAAACCGTCTATCTGTGCGCGCGCAGACTTAACTGTTTTGAGCCGAGAATTTCGGTCTCAGCCGCGTTCGTTCGTTTTGTCCAATGAACGTGATTTAGTTATGTTTATGTTTTTAAGTTATAATTAACACTTCATAATATATAGATTATTGTTTTGGGCTCATATTTTAATTATTTGAGTTTATTCAACATTATGGGGTCAGTTTAATTTTTAGTAGAGTTGTTTTAGTATAGCTTAATCGCTTTCGACTGTATTCATTATGTCTGTTATTTATTATGCTTTATTTATTAAATCTTTCTATTCTCACAGTTTATTTTACTAAATCTGGTGGGTGCTGGGTTTGTAGAATGATAATAGTAAAAACAGAAATCGTTTTGTCAGATATATTATGAATGAGACATAAAACACTAATCACATTAATACTGACTTAATGTTTACTTATTTTACAAAAATGTAACACAAAAAAAATGTGTTTATTTTTTAAATTTATTCTTTGAATAAACGTCACATATAGAAAAATTAAAATGGCAACATATTTTTAAAATCAGGGAAATCATCATAAAAAGGTGTGTTTATGACTTGCTTTTAGGTGCTCAAATATGACAGCTTTTATCTTTTTTTCTGCTCTTGTACAATTTGACAGGGGCTGCAAATGAGATCATAATCTTACAACCCTAGCTTAGCAATTGCCAG